TAAAATTGGAGAGAGAGAAAATGAAAAATAGAAATGTGAAAACAAAGAAGAGAGATAAGAATATTCAATGGAAAGTTAAAAAAGTTGACCATACTTCGATCTCTCTTTCCAATATCTTAGCATATGCCTAAAAAGTGGAAGGATAACACCTATTCTCATTCTCTCTCTCTCATAAAAACACACCTTTTTTTTTAATTAAATTGAGAGAAATAGGTAAAAGAGAGAAAGAGAAGAAGAAAAATAGCTAAATTGAGAAGAAAAATAGCTATATTGAGAATTAAAAAAAAAAGGAAAATAGTGTGTCTTGTGACTTTTATTTTTATCTTTATTTATAAGAAGATTATATTAAAAAAATTAAAATGTACTTTAAGAATAATTTTATCTTTTTAAGAATAAGATATATCATCACTTATCTCTTCTCATTTTGTACAGTGGTGATTCCATTTACATTTCTTCATATGCACAATACGTATATATGTAAAACTTTACCTATTTCAGTTTACTCCAAAAAAATTAAAAGTGATGGAAAATAAGGGGTTTGTTCAACGGCTAGAATGTGTCCACAAACATAATCATGTACTAATAAATCCAAACATATTAAGAGGAAAATGTTGAGCAAAGAGGAGATTAATTACAGTCTCCAATTTACATGTGGTTTATATATATATTATACCATTCCGCCCGTCTCATAATAAATGTCTTACTTGAACTTCACACAATTCTTAAAAAAAATGATTAGATGTATTGATTTTAATGATAAAATTAATGTCATTTACTAAAACACTCTTATTTATTATAGTTAACAGAATAGTTGAAAACGTGAATGTTAATAAATTGAAGTATAGTAGTGGAAAAAAATTATAAATGTTGTATTGGTATTCTAAAAAGACATTTAATTTGAGACATAAGAAAAGTGCAAATGAGAAATTGAAAAGGGATCTTTATTTTCTTCAGATGATTACAAATATTTTACATCTGCACATATATAGAACCTGAGAGCTATACAAAATAAGAAGGTTCCCGTAAATCAAACCTAAACATAAGTATTGACAGTTGTGGTATCAATAAGGAAATAATACAACTAATAAGAAGCATTCAAAATAGAATATCAATATTGATTGATAGGATTTGTTGCAATCATAACAATAAAATGTTGTTGTTTATTCTCCAATACTCCCCCTTAAGTTGGAGTGTGAGGATTATGAGCACCCAACTTAAATGTTAGCTCCTAAATTGTTTTACACTTAGAGCATTGGTAAAAATATCTGCTTGTTGTTTCTTGGTGGAAACATAACTAGTAGAAATCGCACCTTCTTGCAAATGATTACGAATAAAATGACAATCTACTTCTATGTGTTTCATTCGTTCGTGGTATACGGGGTTGGCTGCAAGGTGTATGGCAGCCTGATTAGCGTAAAACAACATAGTTGGTGAGTCACAGTGGACTTGTAAACTAGATAATAAGCCCCGCAACCAAATGACTTCACTTACAGCATGACCCATGGCTTTATACTCTGCCTCACTAGATGACTTTGACACAATGGACTGTTTTTTAGTTTTCCATGATATAGGAGTTGATCCTAATTTCATTAGATATCGGGAAGTTGATCTTCTAGTCAGTGGGCATGATGCCCAATCTGAATCACGATAGGCCATAAGTTAAAGATCGTGTTCCTTAGGTAATAAGATACCTTGTCCCAATGTCGATTTGAGATACTATAACACTCTCATGGTTGCGTCCCAATGCGCTTGTTGAGGGGATTGCATGAAATGACTTAGTATATGAACCGAATAAGTGATCTCTGGACGTGTGATAGTTAAGTAAATCAAACAACCAATGAGACTTCGGTAGCAAGGAGGGTCCGAATATGTTAGTCCCGAGTCCAAAGCTAACCTTTGTTTTCGCTCCATTGGAAAAGTCGAAGGTTTGGAATAAAGCATCTTACATTCATCCGAAATGTCTAAAGTGTATTTATGCTGACATATAAACAATCTAGTTGATCCTCGTGTGAGCTCTAGACCCAGAAAATATTTAAGGGGTCCAAGGTCTTTCATGTGGAAACACCTTCTCAAATATTGTTTAAAACTGGTACATGTGTTAGAACAATTACCCGCAATCACAACATCATCAACATAGATCAAAACTGCCATGAATTTTCCTTCTCTTGAATAAGTAAAGAGACTATGATCCGCATGTGATTCTTGGAAACCATATTCTATAAGTGCTTGGGAGAGCTTTGAGTACCAATTTCGTGAGACCTGCTTCAATCCATATAGAGATTTTCTCAACCGGAAAACCATGCCTGCTTTAGGAGTATCATAAGCATTCGGAACCTGCATATAAACTTCTTCCTCTAGATCTCCATGCAGAAAAGCATTGCTTACATCCATCTGGTGTATCTCACATCCTTTCGCTACCGTAACAGTAAGAAGACAACAAACGATAGTCATTTTGGCTACAGGTGCAAATGTTTCGTTGAAGTCTTCTCCTTCTACCTACGTGTATCCCTTGGCTACAAGACGTGCCTTATATTTTTCAATTTCTCCCGAGGCTTTGTACTTCACTTTGTATACCAACATACACCCCACTATTTTCTTTCCCGATGGTGGAAATGTCAAGTCCCAAGTACCATTATCCTCAAGAGCTTTGAGTTCTGTTGCCACGACTTCTTTCCATTCTGATTTCTTCATAACTTCTTGATAACTTTGAGGTTCTTCAATGCTATGGACTACTGCAAGATAGGCCTGATGGGTGCGAGAATAATAATTATTATTGATAAAATTGGTGATAGGGTATACTTTACCTAAGAAGTGTGACTGAGTCACGAGCATGCTTATGGGGTTCTTGTGTGTAGCATAACAATGATAATCTCGGAGATAACATGGTAGTTGTCTTGTGCGTGATGGGAGGTCTATCACCATCTCATTGTGATATTCTATCTCAAATGCATTTGTCTCCTAATTCCGACCCTCCATCTAACATGCACCCATGTCTCATTGATTCTATTGGCCCACACTGCTCTCCACTTCATCATTTCTCTCCATTTCATCTTAATTATTCTCTTCTTATTGTACAAAGATGTCATGAAAAACAAAACTTGGAAACTTTCTTGTCGAACCTTTTTCATGCATAACATATGGCAGAATTTTCTCATAGAACACCACATCTCATGAAGTGAAAATCTCGCATGTCTTAGGATTATAGACTTTCCAACCTTTTTGTCCTTGTGGATAGCCTACAAAGATACACCTTTCTGCTCTTGGATCGAATTTGTCCCTCACCTTTGTACTCGTGCTAACATAACACAAGAAACTGAATATCTTTAAATGACCATAAGATAGTGATTTTCCAAAAAGCACCTCATATGGTGTGATACCTTGGTTTGCTATAACAGGTGTTCTATTTATAATGTGAGTTGCAGCCAATATGCATTCTCCCCAAAAATGAATGGGGAGATTTTCTTGAAATCTTAAGCCTCTTGCAATGTTGAGAATGTGTATGTGTTTTCATTCCACAAACACATTTTGTTGAGGTGTGTCTACACATGATGTTTCATGAACTATTCCCTTTTGTTTGAAGAATTTCTGAATGTTCATATTGGTGAATTCTATCCCGTTATCAATACAGATTCTTTTAATTTTCACATCGAATTTTGTCTATATCATGTTGCAGAAATTGATCAATATGTCAGTAGTTTAAGTCTTATTTTTTATCAAATAAATCCAAGTCCCATGACTATGATCATCTGCTAAAGTGGGAAAATAATGAGACCCACTATGATCAGCTTTATTAATACTATGAGGAAAAGGAAGTTTGTGTTTCTTTGACTTGTGACATATGTCACAACAATCTAAGTCACTAGAATCAAAATTACAATTGATCAAACTTGAAAGGTACTAAAGAGATTGTGCTGAGGAGTGCCCCATTATGTAGTGCCAAAGGGTGGTATCATCTTTCTGGCTTGTAGTTAAAGCAGATCCTTGCATTATCCCCTTGTACACATAAACCCTATTATGCATGCTACCCGATCCAATCATCCTCCTCGTGGCTAGGTCATGTATCACACAAGAATCAGACTGATAAGTTATCATGCAATTTTAATCACGTGTCAACTTATTTATAGAAATTAAGTTGCAATCAAAATCAGGCACAATCAACGCATTAGACAATTTCATATTTGTATCCAGTCTAAGATCTCCAACTCTTTCTACCAACACAATATTTTCGATGGGGACTGTGATATAGAAAGGTTTATCAAGTGATTGTATTCCTTCTATTATTGAGCAAAGATGAGTCATATGATGAGATGCACCACTATCTAAGATCCATTGGATCTCTCCATTCCTAGCCATGTTAGCAAATGATGATGATCCCACATTCTTCATCCGCATTCCATGTAGAGCGTGACCTTTGTTCTCCGCATTTCCATCATCTTTATCAACATGAGTTATATATGCATCCATATTTCCTCTGAACTCGTTATTGTTCGGTCGTTGCTTTCTTCGAGTATCCCAGTTTGAAGGATACCCGATTAACTCAAAACACATGCCTTGATGTGTCCGTCTTTTCCATAATGATCACACTTTTTCCTGAATCCATTTCTTTTCTGCTTGCTTCCCGAATATGAGTTAAAAGCTTCTCCTTGACCTGTCTTGTTATTCTCTTTCTCCTTCTCAGCATTGATGCGTGCTTCTTCCCTCAAGTCGTGGTTGAATGCATGCCGAAGTGATGGCAACGGTACCACGTTCATAATGGAAGTTTTGACATGCCCATATTGCTCATTATCTAGACCTACAAGAAATAGATGTACACACTGGCCCTCTTCCCTTTGCATAAACTCTTTTGACGCTCCACAAGTGCATTCAGGAAGGGGTTGAAGTTCACTCAACTCATCAAGAAGATCTTTGAACTGGGTGTAAAATTTTGTTACACTTAATTCATCGTCCTTCTACATAAGACAAAGGTTTCGCCATAATTGATGGATCCTTGGTGCATTGGTTTAAGCAAAGCGCTCTTCAAGGTCAAGCCATAGATCCCTGGTTGTTATTGCGTGAGATATGCTGCCATGTAATTTCAGATCAGTAACATTTATGATCCAAGCCATCACCATTGAATCTTCCTTCTCCCAATTGAGATAGTATGTTGTCTTCTTTCCTGGTTTTGTGATTGTTCCATCAATAAAATCTAACTTCATTTTTGCACGAAGTGCCGTCTTCATTGAACGTGCCCATGTTCGATGATTTTCTCCTTTGAGGATGGCTGTAACGAGAGGTGTTCCCGGATTATCCGAAGTACTGCGATAGTATGGTGAAATTGTGGTGAGAGCAACTTGACTTTTTCCTTCATCAGAGGTATGAGTCTTCTCTGATTCAGACTTTCTAAGATCATGCCCTGATGCCATATTAAAAAGGGATCTGTATTTTCTTCAGATGATTACAAATGTTTTACAACTGCACATATATAAAACCTAAGAGCTATACAAAATAAGAAAGTTTCCGTAAATCGAACCTAAACATAAATACTGACAGTTATGGTATCAATAAAGAAATAATACAGCTAATAGGAAGCATTCATAACAAAATATCAATATTGATTAATAGAATTTATTGCAATCATAACAATAAAATGTTGCTGCGTATTCTTCAATAAAATTCTTATTATGAGACGAAAAGAGTACTAATTATAATTTTCTTTTTTGTGGGACAAAGATGCAAGAATTTTGTGGGACAAAGAGCATGAAGAAAAAGTTGATACTAGTGCCACTTTTTTTTTTGTGGGACAAAGATGCAAGAATTTTGTGGGACAAAGACGCATGAAGAAAAAGTTGATACTATTGCCACGCCAATTAATTCATTCTCCTTATCTCTTCATCTATTTGTACCTCTTTCTCTACCAACCAATTAATCAAAAAGTATTTGATAGATCTTTCTTAATCTCAATCTCACCAGCTAGTGGCTGGCTATTTTTGGTCCACCTTTACTATTTTTATATGGTTTTCGAATTAATGTCCAAATTAAAGACTTTGACAGCAATCTAGACCTTATTCTCAAGTCTCAACCACAAAATTAGCAAAAATTTCTAATCTATTATAATAACTAATAAGTTGTAATATTTACGGTTTACAAATAAGATGGATACACATTTTTTTCATTAATTTTTTTATAATTTCGGTTAATAGTATATAAAAATTTAGTTAATATAATTTATATTTTTATTAATATATATTCTGAGCATAAAAAATTGATTAATATAATTTTTATTTTTGAAATCAAAAAATAATTTGATAGATGGAATCAAGTTGATTAATAATATGTAAAAAATTTATTAATACATTTCATAATTTAATTAATGACTTCTTAAAAATAAAAAATATTAAATAGTAAAATAAAATTGATTTGTAATGTGTAAATATAGTTTATAATTTAGTGTTAAAAATGATTATTATTATTATTATTATGTATTTTATTGATTAATATATTTATGAAAGTGGTTAATAAATTATAATTAGAATAAATAGTTAAATAATAATATATATTTTTGTAGTTATTATAATGATGAAATTGATTAATGATAATATTTGTATTACAAAATAATTTGAAAAAATAAATATTATTTTATAAATATTTTTTTTTAATTTTAAAATATAAAGATAAACTGTTCACACGATAAATGATTTTTGAGTGTAAATATTTAGTGTAATATTTAATATCAAGATAGCAATGCTCTAAGTTATAGAGCTCGATTCTATGGCCTGATATGTATTTTATATTATTTTTTTTAGATGGAATATATTCCATCAAATTTATATTTATCAAATAAATTGTGTGTAGTAATAAAATTGATTAAGTGATAGTTAAAATAGTCATAAAATCAATTTAATTGGGATGATAACTCTTATTCTTTCAAGCTCTTACTCTCTTCTTTTTTTTTTTAAACACTTAAAAAAATAAATAGCATAAAAACATTCAGATAAAAATAGAGAGTATTTATGACAAATCATAAAATGCAGACTTAGAAAAATTAAGATGCAATCATACATAATAAAGTAATTATCAATCTATCAATTGAAAATTAAGAGCAAAATAAAGTATAAAATGGATTAATTATTTTATAAGATTAAATATATTTTTGATCTTTATTAATATTTTAAATTTTATTTTTAATTCCAATAAAAAATGATACATTTTAGTCCTTACAAATTTTTCATATATGTAATTTTAGTCCCTTCTATTTTCTAAAATTTTAAAAATTATTTAATTATTCTTAAATTTTTAAATTTTTGAATAATTTTTTGCGTACATGTTTAGAATACTATAAAATATTTCTTTATCAAATTTTAGAATTTTTTAAAATAAAAAGAATTATATGTGAATTTTTTTAATTTCAAAAGATAATGATAAAAGTAATGAAAATCTTGATTTAAAAATCAAATTTTGAGTTTTATTTTAGGAATTTTTTATAATATTCTAAACATATATGTAAAACAACCATTCAAAAATACACAATAGTTTAACAATAGAGATTAAAATTATATGCAAAATAATAATTTTCACTCTTAAAGTGTAGTTCCTTTTGATTTGCTACATTAGGTAAAACAACATGGGTAGTACAAGATATATTTTGGTGAAGATGTAACATGTGTGATAGAATGTTCCTGCATGTGTGTAGCATATGGCCTCAGTTTGCAGGCCAAGGTTTGTGAGGTATTTTGAATGAGATTACGTTCGATTCTAAGAAGATTTGTTGTTGTATCTTTCAACAATATGTTATTTAGTAAGATTTGCTAAAAAGATTTAATGAGATCAAATCCAATTATATGACGATTCATTATTAATTAATATCAAATCAAATCAAATTTTTGCGCGGATGTTTTTGAAAAGCAAATCAAATATGCATCTAAAGAAAATCTGGTTGTTTTTTAAATTCAATGCTCATTGGAGGAATGCCCAAAAGGTGATTTTCTATTTAAGGAGTCTCATTCCTACCTTTGATGACACGATCTAGAGTTGAAGACTCAATTGTTACGTTTCGTTTTTTGAGTTGTTGTATTTATTTTTATTTATGCACCTCTATAATGCCTACGTTTCATATCAAAGAAATATAGATTGTTTGTTTTGTTAGAGTTGTAGTACAATAAACATTGTTATGAGTTTTGTATTAATCACTAGGGTTAGTGGTTGAGAGAAAGTGATAGGGGTTCTCATATTTAGGGAGAGTCATAAATAAAAAGACATGAATAGTATTAGGATGAGGGACATTGAACAAGGGTTTTTCATCTAAGACACTTTATACTAATATTTTTTAGAGTGAATTTCCTTTCTTGGGTTGGAAGCCCCCCAAATGTTGTTGACGTTGCACCGAACTAGATTACCAATTCTTTTGTATTTTTTATTGATTTATGATTTATCATCTTGTTTATGTTAATATGTCAATAAAGTTATACATAATTGTCCCAGAAATTGTGTCCAACATCTGTCTTGCAAAGAATATAATTTCAATTGACATCAGAGTAGGCATCCTGTTATGTTTGAGTGAGCTCTAGGAAAAGTATATTTTGATCAAATGGACAATACTAAGGAAATAGGATTTGTCAATAGACCACCTGTCTTGGATGACACCAACTATGATTTTTTGGAAAGCTAAAATGGTTGTCTTACTTAAATCCATTGACAAGAATATGGAAGGTTGTTATAAAAGGTTGAAAACACCATGTTACTACCTCTCAAGATGGAACATCAATCTTAAAGTCCGAAGTCGATTGGTCTAATGGTGAAAATGATGGAGCTCTTGTAAACTCCAAAGCCTTGAATGATATTTTGAATGGTGTGGAAAAGAACATGTTTAGATTGATCAACACATGTACTAAATCCAAAAAGGCATGAGAGATTATCAAAACTGCACATAAAGGCACATCCAAAGTTCGTGTGTCAAGGTTGTAGCTCCTCACAACAAAGTTTGTGAATCTGAGAATGAAAGAAGATGAACCCATCTTTGACTTCAACATCATACTGTGTGACATTTCAAATACTTTACTTGCATTAAGAGAGATGATTTTTGAAGAAAAGTTGGCCAGAAAAATTCTCAGATTACTACCTTGGTATTGTTGTTTATAACCCTATCTACTTATCAATAGCCTCGCATCTACGTATGATTAGAGTCTTTATTGTGTGCATGTTTGCAAACCCGTGTTTTAATTGTTATTGCGTTGGTTGATTGCTTGAGTACAAGCAATGGTCTAAGTGTGGAGGAGTTTGATAACTTGAAAACGCATCGTATTTTCCGACTCAATTCACATGCTATTTTGTTTTCATTTATCGTTTTTATCATATTTTTATATTGCTTTATATTGTGTTTCAGGCATTTTCATGTTCGTGAAGTAAAATGCATCAGAATTGCAAAGGAGGAAGAAAGAGCATAAAAAGAATGTAGAATATCAGCTCTGCTAATGTGGTAGTCGCCACCAGGACCATGGTGCTCGCCATGGTCTGTAGCCACTTAAATTAATGAAGAGTGACCCATGGCGGTCGCCATGAGCCCCATGGCGGTCGCCATGCACCAGGAAAGCAGAAACGTGCAAAACAAACTTGGACTATTTCTTGACAACTTTCCTGGTTTCTCTCAACTGATTCTGCATGTTTTAGCATTCATTCCCTAGCTTGTAACTCTATATATAGACTCTAGTTAGTTGTTTTCAGGGTCTAAGTTTTGTATGTGAAGCTCTGCTGAACTGAAAAGCAATACTTTGAACAATTGAATTGTAATCTTGCCGCCATTAGTAAAAGCAATTCAAGTTTCCTTTATTTCCTTTTTTCTCAAGTTTTTATTTACCATATTATAATTATTGTTTTCTTAATTTAATTACCATGTTTCCTTTATCGTAATTGGTATGTTTAATGTGTTCTTAATTAGTAATACGTCCGACTAAGCATGTAGAGTCCGATATGTGAGTACCGTCATTTTCGACGAAACTCGATAACAAGTTGGCTTAATAATTTAATTTGAAAATTCAGTTTCGGTCTTTGTTTTTAAAACTTTATTTAAATAGCTTTGTCACGAGAGTGAGAGGTTATTTAACACGATTTTGTCACGAGAATGAGAAACCAACTAAGGTTCGAGTCGGCACTGCAAGAGCGCGGGGGTCGAACAAGATAGTAAGAACGGGCTATCGATTCCAAAAGAGGGCGAGAGCGCTTTAGGCATTGATTAGAACTTGCTCAGTTTTTAAAACGCATTCCTTGATTCAAATGGGTGAGCGAGAGTAAAATCCCATGGTTAAGGAACATGACTTTATTTAAAACCACGGGAGTGTGAGATATTGTCTTTAAATTGAGATTTTCTACTAAACGTATCTTTAGTATTAATAAAAGCCAACAAGTAACAGAATTCTCGAAGCACGCGGAA